GTTGGTTGTTTTTGTTTATCTGTGGCCACACATGGAGCGTGTGTGTGTGTGTGTGTGTGTGTGTGTGTGTGTGTGTGTGTGCGTGCGTGCGTGCGTGCGTGCGTGTGTGTGTGTGTGTGTGTGTGTGTTTTAGCCAGTCAGCTGTAAAACTCTGCACCATGTTTGACACGAGTCACATGGGTGGTGTTAAAAGCTCTGGATGCCTCCTGCTGACTTCCTGCTGCTCTCTTTGCTGCATCAGAACGAGCTCACAGGTAGATAACGATTGATCTGGCTGGATTTGACTTTTAAAAAGGAACAGCTGATGGGATGTGCTGTTGAGGAAGTTTCATTGTCTTCATGTTTGGGGGGCATGTAGTTGTGGAAGAAGCATAATTTAAATATTAACAAACAGAGTTTGAGTTCTGGCAGTTCTAGTGAAGTTAGAATTCTGGGAGTACTAGTGATGTTAGAATTCTGGCAGTTCCAGTAAAGTTAGAATTCTGGCAAATCTAGTGAAGTAGAGTTCTTGGAGTACTAGTGAAGTTGGAATTCTGGCAGTTCCAGTAAAGTTAGAATTCTGGCAAATCTAGTGAAGTAGAGTTCTTGGAGTACTAGTGAAGTTGGAATTCTAGGGTACTGATAAAGTTGGAATTCTGGGAGTACTAGTGAAGTTAGAATTCTGGCAGTTCTAGTGAAGGTAGAGTTCTTGGAGTTCTAGTAAAGTTAGAATTCTGGGAGTACTAGTGAAGTTAGAATTCTGGGGTACTGATAAAGTTAGAATTCTGGGAGTACTAGTGAAGTTAGAATTCTGGCAGTTCTAGTGAAGTAGAGTTGTTGGAGTACTAGTGAAGTTAGAATTCTGGGGTACTGATAAAGTTGGAATTCTGGGAGTACTAATGAAGTTAGAATTCTGGCAGTTCTAGTGAAGGTAGAGTTCTTGGAGTTCTAGTAAAGTTAGAATTCTGTGAGTACTAGTGAAGTTAGAATTCTGGGAGTACTAGTGAAGTTAGAATTCTGGAAGTACTAGTGAAGTTAGAATTCTGAGAGTTTTAGTGAAGTTAGAATTCTGGCAGTTCTAGTGAAGTAGAGTTCTTGGAGTACTAGTGAAGTTAGAATTCTGGGAGTACTAGTGAAGTTAGAATTCTGGGAGTACTAGTGAAGGTAGAGTTCTTGGAGTTCTAGTGAAGTTAGAATTCTGGGGTACTAGTAAAGTTAGAATTCTGGGAGTACTAGTGAAGTTAGAATTCTGGGAGTTCTAGTGAAGTTAGAATTCTGGCAGTTCTAGTGAAATAGAGTTCTTGGAGTACTAGTGAAGTTAGAATTCTGGGGTACTGATAAAGTTAGAATTCTGGGAGTACTAGTGAAGTTAGAATTCTGGCAGTTCTAGTGAAGGTAGAGTTCTTGGAGTTCTAGTAAAGTTAGAATTCTGTGAGTACTAGTGAAGTTAGAATTCATGGAGTACTAGTGAAGTTAGAATTCTGGAAGTACTAGTGAAGTTAGAATTCTGAGAGTTTTAGTGAAGTTAGAATTCTGGCAGTTCTAGTGATTGGAGTACTAGTGAAGTTAGAATTCTGGGAGTACTAGTGAAGTTAGAACTCTGGGAGTACTAGTGAAGTTAGAATTCTGGGAGTACTAGTGAAGTTAGAATTCTGGGAGTACTAGTGAAGTTAGAATTCTGGGAGTACTAGTGAAGTTAGAATTCTGGCAGTTCTAGTGAAGTTAGAATTCTGGCAGTTCTAGTGAAGTAGAGTTCTTGGAGTTCTAGTGAAGTTATAATTCTGGCAGTACTAGTGAAGTTAGAATTCTGGCAGTTCTAGTGAAGTAGAGTTCTTGGAGTTCTAGTGAAGTTAGAATTCTGGGAGTACTAGTGAAGTTAGAATTCTGGGGTACTGATAAAGTTAGAATTCTGGGAGTACTAGTGAAGTTAGAATTCTGGGAGTACTAGTGAAGGTAGAGTTCTTGGAGTTCTAGTGAAGTTAGAATTCTGGGGTACTAGTAAAGTTAGAATTCTGGGAGTACTAGTGAAGTTAGAATTCTGGGAGTTCTAGTGAAGTTAGAATTCTGGGAGTACTAGTGAAGTTAGAATTCTGGCAGTTCTAGTGAAATAGAGTTCTTGGAGTACTAGTGAAGTTAGAATTCTGGGGGAGTGATAAAGTTAGAATTCTGGGAGTACTAGTGAAGTTAGAATTCTGGCAGTTCTAGTGAAGGTAGAGTTCTTGGAGTTCTAGTAAAGTTATAATTCTGAGAGTTTTAGTGAAGTTAGAATTCTGGCAGTTCTAGTGAAATAGAGTTCTTGGAGTACTAGTGAAGTTAGAATTCTGGGAGTACTAGTGAAGTTAGAATTCTGGGAGTACTAGTGAAGTTAGAATTCTGGGAGTACTAGTGAAGTTAGAATTCTGGAAGTACTAGTGAAGTTAGAATTCTGGCAGTTCTAGTGAAGTTAGAATTCTGGCAGTTCTAGTGAAGTAGAGTTCTTGGAGTTCTAGTGAAGTTAGAATTCTGGGAGTACTAGTGAAGTTAGAATTCTGGCAGTTCTAGTGAAGTAGAGTTCTTGGAGTTCTAGTGAAGTTATAATTCTGGGAGTACTAGTGAAGTTAGAATTCTGGCAGTTCTAGTGAAGTAGAGTTCTTGGAGTTCTATTGAAGTTAGAATTCTGGGAGTACTAGTGAAGTTAGAATTCTGGGAGTACTAGTGAAGGTAGAGTTCTTGGAGTTCTAGTGAAGTTAGAATTCTGGGGTACTAGTAAAGTTAGAATTCTGGGAGTACTAGTGAAGTTAGAATTCTGGGAGTTCTAGTGAAGTTAGAATTCTGGGAGTACTAGTGAAGTTAGATTTCTGGCAGTTCTAGTGAAATAGAGTTCTTGGAGTACTAGTGAAGTTAGAATTCTGGGGGACTGATAGAGTTAGAATTCTGGGAGTACTAGTGAAGTTAGAATTCTGGCAGTTCTAGTGAAGGTAGAGTTCTTGGAGTTCTAGTAAAGTTAGAATTCTGAGAGTTTTAGTGAAGTTAGAATTCTGGCAGTTCTAGTGAAATAGAGTTCTTGGAGTACTAGTGAAGTTAGAATTCTGGGAGTACTAGTGAAGTTAGAATTCTGGGAGTACCAGTGAAGTTAGAATTCTGGGAGTACTAGTGAAGTTAGAATTCTGGCAGTTCTAGTGAAGTTAGAATTCTGGCAGTTCTAGTGAAGTAGAGTTCTTGGAGTTCTAGTGAAGTTAGAATTCTGGGAGTACTAGTGAAGTTAGATTTCTGGCAGTTCTAGTGAAATAGAGTTCTTGGAGTACTAGTGAAGTTAGAATTCTGGGGGACTGATAGAGTTAGAATTCTGGGAGTACTAGTGAAGTTAGAATTCTGGCAGTTCTAGTGAAGGTAGAGTTCTTGGAGTTCTAGTAAAGTTAGAATTCTGAGAGTTTTAGTGAAGTTAGAATTCTGGCAGTTCTAGTGAAATAGAGTTCTTGGAGTACTAGTGAAGTTAGAATTCTGGGAGTACTAGTGAAGTTAGAATTCTGGGAGTACTAGTGAAGTTAGAATTCTGGGAGTACTAGTGAAGTTAGAATTCTGGGAGTACTAGTGAAGTTAGAATTCTGGCAGTTCTAGTGAAGTTAGAATTCTGGCAGTTCTAGTGAAGTAGAGTTCTTGGAGTTCTAGTGAAGTTAGAATTCTGGGAGTACTAGTGAAGTTAGAATTCTGGCAGTTCTAGTGAAGTAGAGTTCTTGGAGTTCTAGTGAAGTTAGAATTCTGGGAGTACTAGTGAAGTTAGAATTCTGGGAGTTCTAGTGAAGTTAGAATTCTGGGAGTACTAGTGAAGTTAGAATTCTGGCAGTTCTAGTGAAATAGAGTTCTTGGAGTACTAGTGAAGTTAGAATTCTGGGGTACTGATAAAGTTAGAATTCTGGGAGTACTAGTGAAGTTAGAATTCTGGCAGTTCTAGTGAAGGTAGAGTTCTTGGAGTTCTAGTGAAGTTAGAATTCTGGGAGTACTAGTGAAGTTAGAATTCTGGCAGTTCTAGTGAAGTTAGAATTCTGGGAGTTCTAGTGAAGTTAGAATTCTCAGAGTACTAGTGAATTTAGAATTCTGGGAGTTCTAGTGAAGTTAGAATTCTGAGAGTTTTAGTGAAGTTAGAATTCTGGCAGTTCTAGTGAAGTAGAGTTCTTGGAGTACTAGTGAAGTTAGAATTCTGGGAGTACTAGTGAAGTTAGAATTCTGGGAGTACTAGTTAAGTTAGAATTCTGGGAGTACTAGTGAAGTTAGAATTCTGGCAGTTCTAGTGAAGTTAGAATTCTGGGAGTTCTAGTGAAGTTAGAATTCTCAGAGTACTAGTGAATTTAGAATTCTGGGAGTTCTAGTGAAGTTAGAATTCTGGCAGTTCTAGTGAAGATAGAATTTTGGCAGTTCTAGTGAAGTAGAGTTCTTGGAGTATTAGTGAAGTTAGAGCTCTGGGGTACTGATAAAGTTAGAATTCTGGCAGTTCTAGTGAAGGTAGAGTTCTTGGAGTTCTAGTGAAGTTAGAATTCTGAGAGTACTAGTGAACTTAGAATTCTGGCAGTTCTAGTGAAGTAGAGTTCTTGGAGTACTAGTGAAGTTAGAGTTCTGGGGTACAATTAAAGTTAGAATTCTGGGAGTACTAGTGAAGTTAGAATTCTGGGAGTACTAGAGAAGTTAGAATTCTGGCAGTTCTAGTGAAGTAGAGTTCTTGGAGTACTAGTGAAGTTTGAATTCAATTCTGGGAGTACTAGTGAAGTTAGAATTCTGGCAGTTCTAGTGAAGTAGAGTTCTTGGAGTACTAGTGAAGTAGAGTTCTTGGAGTTCTAGTGAAGTTAGAATTCTGGCAGTTCTAGTGAAGTAGAGTTCTTGGAGTACTAGTGAAGTTAGAATTCTGGGAGTACTAGTGAAGTTAGAATTCTGGGAGTACTAGTGAAGTTAGAATTCTGGGAGTACTAGTGAAGTTAGAATTCTGGCCGTTCTAGTGAAGTTAGAATTCTGGCAGTTCTAGTGAAGTAGAGTTCTTGGAGTTCTAGTGA